TGGCCAGGTAGCTGTCTTCCAAATTTCTTGGCATAGATGAGTGAGCACTTCCAGCACTGCATCTGTTTGTTGAAACATCTCAGTTGGTATTCCATTAATTCCTGGAGCCTTGTTTTTCGACAATGCCTTCAGTGCAGCTTGGACTTCTTCCTTCAGTACCATGGGTCCTGATCATATGCTACCTCTTGAAATGGTTGAACGTCAACAAATTATTTTTGGTATAGTGACTCTGTGTATTCCTTCCATCTTCTTTTGATGCTTCCTGCATCATTTAGTATTTAGTCATTTTTAATCTGAAAGAGTTCCTTAGTCTTTCTCTTCGTTTTTCATGACCCTGATATTTTTTAAGAATACTGTTTAGTTATTTTGAAGAACATCTTTCAGTTTGATTCATCTAACGTTTTTTCATGATTAAATTCAGATTATGCATCTGTGGCAAGAATACCACAGAACTGATGTTGTGTCTTTCTCAGTGTATCTTATTACAAGAATTGTTGTTGTTGTCTGCTGTTGAGTTGGCCCCCAACTAGTAGCGATGCCATGCACAATGAAACTAAATGCTGCCCGGTTCTGTGCCATCCCCAGGATTGGTTGCAGATAAGACCATTCTGATTCATAGGGTTTTCATTGGCTAGTTTTTGAAAGTAGATCACCAGGCTTTTCTTTCTAGTCTTAGTCTGGAAGTCCCACTGAAACCTGTTCAGCATCATAGCAACATGGAAACCTCCATTGAGAGATGGGTGGTGGCTGCACAGGTGCTTGAGTCAGCTGGATCTTTATAATCATTACCTTTAGTAGGTTTGGATGGCCTAACAAATAATATTTCTTCACATTAATTGTCAGAGTCATAGTAAACTTATACTTTAACCTTTTTTCTTCAATCCAGGGAATGTCTTTCTATCCTGCATGTAATTGAGAAGAACAAACTTGAGCAACAGTTATTCTATGAGTTCGAAGGGGGTGTCAAACTTGGAGTAGGAGCCTTTAATTTGGTAAGGAAATAATTATAAAGAATCCAGAACCTATTGTATAAGAACCTGCAGTTTTCAGTGCTTTCTCTACAACCTGTGAACCTTTCCCTGAACCTCTGACTGGGTTTTATTGACATGTGGCAAGAGTGAGATTTTTTTCCTGTGTTGACCCAGGGTCTTTGGCCAGTATATGTTGTGAAGTTCTGCACATGCTCAGAATAGTTTTGGGTTGTACAATATAAAGGAAACATCTAGCACTCTGAATAGACTAGTAAGGTTTTTGGTAATAAGGACCTTGGAATCTATTTCCATTTCAGTATCAGAAATATTGTTGCTTTGACAGTGGCGGATCTGGAGAAATAAGTGAGGGAGCAGTAGAACTTGAGGGATGATTTTGAAGGTCCCTGGGTGGCACAAATGGTTTACACTTGGCTATTAACCAAAAGGTTGGTGGTTCGAATCCACCCAGCAGTGCAACAGAAGAAAGACCTGGCAATCTACTTCCATAAGATTACAGCAATGGAAAACCTTGGGAGTGCAGTTCTATTCGGACACAAATAGGGTCACCATGAGTCAGAATCAACTTGACGGCAACTGGTTTTTTTATTGGTTTGGGGAGATGAAGAGTCTGTGTAGATATCTGTCAAATTGTGATACATTATTTAGAGATTTTGAAATTTTATTAAGGTTTGACTTGAATTGGTGAGAAAATTACAAAGTGACAGAATCATACAGACGTGATCACTAAACAGAGTTTAAAAGAGTCCTGTCTGGAGATGGGCACCGAGAACCAGGCTTTTTTTTTTTTTTTTTTTTTTTTAAATTTTTTTAAGTTCACTATCTTAGTTAAGTGAAATTAAATCGTAAGTAACAACTACAGTATGTGATGATTGAGACATGTCTAGTGGTTCTGACTTGGTTCTAATTTTTCATATTACTAAAGCATTAACACTTTAAGTGGTTTGGAGTTTGATGGTTATCTAGTTAAATACATTAACACATAAGTATATCTTTTTTTTTTTTCCTTATAGATGCTGTCCCTTTTACCAGCAAGGATTATCAGACTACTAGAATTTATTGGATTTTCTGGAAACAGGGTACAAATTTAATTTTATATCAGTTTTGTCAGGGAAGATAAAACATTATTTACTGAATATAAAAGCAATGCAACATGTCCTCATAATTAGTGTGATAGTTTTCAGGAGGTAGTCATGACTGTTTTATTGAAATTTCAAAATTGTTACCTAAATTCTGGGATTAAAACTTACATTTACCAGTATTGCTGCTTGCTAGATCTGTAGTCCTCTTGTGTGGTTAAGATATGCTTCTGTAAAAACGGCTTGTGGTGTCTGACCTCCTCCAGCCCCACAAGGGGGAAGGAGAACCAAAATCAGCAGCACAAGGCTGATTCCTATGAGGCAGGAGTCAAACATACCTCCTCTCTCCACCATCTTTACCAATTTTGACACCAGCCGTCCCTCCCACAGCACTCTCTGCTGGGTTCGATAATTCATTGCAATGGCCACACAGAACTTACAGACCATACTCACAATTATGGGGTTTATTAGGGAAGTAACAGTTACACTTCAGGCCAAGAACACTCAGGATACAGTTCTTCCACTAGGATAGCCTCTTCCCAGCTGTGCATGCAAGCACACCTCTCCCTGGCCCTCAGTCTCTGCCCAAAGGCACTCAGCTTTCTCTCTCCATGGGCCATGAAACCTACCACGCCATGTCCTGTAGCCAGGTCTCTCCTGACGGATCTCTTCTTTGTTGGTGGTGGGCTCTTCCCCTCTGCTTTGGAATTGGCTCTCTTTTAAGGCAAAACTGACCAGTCCCCTTGGTAGGCCACAATTACTCTATCACACAATCACCTGGGTGGGAGTTACAAGACCACGGCTAGAAAGGCCACACGCAAAAGTAGTTAATCACACCACAGCTTCCTTAACATTTTAGTGACCCCAGAGTCTTCACATTTTATGATTCCAGTGGATCAAATAGCATGAATCAAGCATAGTTGCAGTATTTTGGATTTTCTTGTGTTTTTACAAGTTTCACTGTAAAACTAAAAGAGGAAATTTGCTTTCCATGAGTTTTTTTAGTTACGCTGCTGTGTTGTGGTGGTTGTTTTTGTAGCACATAGCATTTATTAATCATAACACTTGATACGATATTACAATAGTTACCTTCTTGCAAAAGCTTGTCTCTGTTAGTCAAGAGGGCAGGTTTTGAGAATTGTATGAGAACAAATGCAAGAAGCTGTCGTTTTTTTCTGTTGACTCCACTGTCCAGGTTCTTCATGTGCTGTTGTGTGTTTCTGGTAGTCCCTTCATGTTCTGTTGCATTTGGTCTATTCTGACTGCTTACTTCATGGTCACCCTTCCCTCTTGACCATTCATCTTCTTCCTTTTTTCTTCTGTGGCTCCACATTGCCTCATGAGTAGAGTCCAGACTGTAGCATGGATTCAAGGACTCTGTGATCTGACTTCAGCCGTGTTTCCAGCCTTACTGCTCAGACTTCTCTCTTGCCCAGTGCTCCTGCTAAACTGGGAATTGGCTGTTCCCCAGACAAGCCTGTGCTTTCTTGTTCTATGCTTCTGCTGGTCTCTCTGTTTTGGATGTCCTCCCCAGCCACCTTCCTCCCAAATGTTGTTCTCTCAACAGCCTCTTTTTCTTGTTAGGTTTGAGACAAATGTCATGGGTTCTACAAAGCCTTCCCTTATCCTCCCCCAACACTTAAGTACTGTCTCAAAATTATTTATTCTTTCTTATAGCATTCAGTATACTTTAATACATAAGAAATAATACAATATATCAATTAATATCTCTTTTATATTATAGTAATACAACAACTTATTAACATAATACAGTAAGAAAATCATGTATTCATGTACTGTGTTCCCTATTTGACGGAAAGATCCTTGAGGGCATAGAATGGTATTTTGTTCATACCTGCCATAGTGCTTTGCATTTAGATCCTTAATACATTTTAATGAATTAATTTTTTTTCTTTAATTTTTTTATTGTACTTTAGATGAAGGTTTACCGAACAAATAGTTTCTCATTAGACAGTTATTACACATATTGTTTTATGACATTGGTTAACAACCCCACGACGTGTCAACATTCTCCCTTCTCGACCTTGGGTTCCCTAGTACCAGCTTTCCTGTCCCCTCCTGCCTTCTAGTCCTTGTCCCTGGGCTGGTGTGCCCCTTTAGTCTTGTTTTGTTTTATGGACCTGTCTAATCTTTGGCTGAAGGGTGAACCTCGGGAGTGTGAATTAATATTTTCATCAGAGAAATAACAACATTTCTATGAAATGGACACTGCCATTCTCTCTCTACAATAACATAGTGTAAAGGAATTTGTGAGATTGCTTTATGCCAGCTTATTATGTAAATTTTGTTTCTAATTATCAATAAAAAAGGCATCGCCACCATTCTAAGCTCTAGAAAAATAAGCCCCACCTTCATGAAGGGTGGGGTTGCATGAACTAACATTTTAAAGTTTCTAAAACTGATTTGTAGTCCTGCTCTTCTATTTCTGAAATGTATTTTATTCCCACAGGAGTTGGGACTCATGCAATTACGAGAAGGTGCATCAGGAAGAAGCATGAGGGCTCCACTATGCTGCTTGACTATACTAGGTTTTCATACTTACATCTGTCTAATACTTGGTAAGGACTGGATTACATTTTACTTCATAGAAAGTTGATTATCTTGCATCTGCTGAGCAAGTAAAAATTTTAAAAATCAATAGGAGCTAATAGTCTATGTTTACTTTTTTTTTTGAGCAAAGATGGAAAAAAGATTAAGGATGACATTTCATTTTAATTAGATATCCTCATAGTAATATTTAGCAGAGAAGGTAGAGTGGTTTCTTTTATTGAATTTTAAAAATCTTTTCACAGATAAAAAAAAAATTCTATAAACCTTATCTAGTATTATCTATTTTAGTATATTTGTATTAGATCTTTTCTGTAGCAGAAAATTAAATTTTTGGTTAAGATAAGGTAATTGTGCCATTAAAACCAGAAATTCCAACAAGGAATCTAAGATAACCACCTTCATTCTTAAGAGTTAGTCAATCTGCCCTAAAGTTCTCTTAAACTGAAGTCATAGATGAGGCTTGTCATATTTTAGTTCCCAAGTGTAAAAGTCACACAATATCAGTTTCTGCCTTTTCCATGATTAGGTCTTTGCTATGTATTAATGAAATTTGGTGAGTTAGTTATAAATATCCACCATGTTTCATGAAGACTGAGGCTCTTCCTGTTGAATTTCTAGGTACAGGAGAAGTGAATATTGTGGAAGCAGAGAGTCTCCTTGCACCCTTCCTCCAGCAGTTTCCAAATGTATGCCTAGTATTTCAAGGGTATGTTTGAACCATAATTAACCAACCAACCCCGATTGTTGAGCGATGTCTTTTCTTCCTTTCCTCACAGGGCTCACTCATGCTGTTTTATCATGCACGAATAGAGCTGCTGAAGGGGAATGTTGAAGAGGTAATATATTCTGAGGGGTTCCTTGGGGATTTGTCTGTATCGTAGAGTTGTATCACATACTCAGTCAACATTCAAGTAAATTCAGCTACATGGACTAGACAAAAGAATAAAGAAAAAATTTTAATTTAAAAGCCAGAATTTAATTTTGTATATACATTCTGTTGTATAAAGTAAATTACTAAATATAGTCTATGTTTGTAGATGAAATACATGAGGCAGTTCAAGGCAGATTATATAAAATAACATGTAAACAGTTTAAGGGATTTTCCAAAGCATTTGACTTACCGATTTCTGTATTATATGCCGACTTTGGAATCTAGCGCCTATGTAAGAAGCACCTCTGCTGCACTGCACTGGGCTCCTCATCAGAGGACGATATTCACTGAGTTCTTTAGGGCAGAAGGGAACACTGGGGTCAGAGGTAGAAGAGTAAGGGGCATTTCATGTAAATACACTTACAAACAATTGTATTCCATACAAATGGGATCAAATAGAGTATTATTCTGTTGTTTTTTTTCCTACTTACAATACATGTTGGATATTTTCCCAGGTCAGTGTATGTATATCTCCCTCATTCTTTTTTGATGGCTAGGTTTCATTCTATGGGATGGTGTACCATACTTATTAAAGCAGTCTACTATTTATAGACATTTGGCTACTACAAACAGTACTGTTGTAAGCATTATTATTGTGCATGTATCATTGTGTATATATTTCTGTGCACAGGTTTATTTATGTAAAACAGATTCTGATAAGTACAATTTCTGGGTCAAAAGATGTGTGCATTTCGATAAATCCAACAAAATTGCCCTCCTAATTTAAGGTTGTTTCAATTTATACTCCTGTAGGGCATGAGAATATTTGTTTCCAGTTCTGTTTGCCAACTCTGGATATTATCCATCTTTTTTTATTTTTGTCAATCTGGTGGCTGAAAAATGATATCATATTTTTAAATTTAATTTTTATTTCCTGTTTATAAATTTCTTCATATGTATATTTTTCATCTCTGTATCTTTTTTTCTGATTTGTGTGTTCATCTTTGCTAATTTTCCCATTGAGTTATCTTTTTCTTAAGGCTTTTATAAAATTGTTGTTTGATAAGGGGTTAATCCTTTATCATTTAAGTATGTACTGGATGTTTTCTCCCAGTCTGTCCATTGTCTTGAATTTTGTTTAGAAAGTGTGTTAGTCTATGGAAGCTTTGATTTCTTAGAAACCCGAATCTGTCATTCTTTTCCTGAAGGACTTCTGTGTTTTATATTTTACTTGGGAAGGGACCCTTCCATGTTATAAAGTGCCAAGACCCCATCACAAAGTTAAATAAAAAGGCAGAACTTAACTGTATCAGTGCGTGTAAGGAAAGGAACATGTCATATTGAATGGTTTAATGAATAATTTTGTTATTTCAGTACAAAGCATTTTATGTATTTTTCCATTAGGTTATTATCTCCTTGTCTAGTATCTGGATGATCAGCTTTATGCAATTGACTTATAGGCACAAGAAACATTCCGAAAATGCATTTCAGTTCAAGAAGAGTGGAAACAGTTCCACCATCTCTGTTACTGGGAGTTGATGTGGATTTATGTATTCGAACAAAACTGGATGCAGGCATATTACTATTCAGATCTGCTTTGTAAAGAGAGTAAATGGTCCAAGGTAAATGGCAGTGCTTTCATCAGTGTTATTTGTTTGCCAATAAGTGGCCAGAATGATTTTCATTTAGGACTGTTTGTTCAATAGTATGACATCAACACTATTTTCTCAACTTAGAGATCCATCAAAGGAGAAAACAGACATTATGTACCTACTACTTATGGGCACTCTACTCAGTGCTGTATCTTTAAAAACCATCCAAAGAGTCCTTTCCAACAAAGAGATCTTACTTCTAAAGATGATCTGTACTTATGTTTAAAGTTATTAAGTATCAATAGTGTTGATAATTTTTTGTAGACTCTCTGATGTCTTGATGGTCAGACTTTTTATGATAATCAGAATTAATTCTGATCCATTTGGGAGAAGTTGGGAGGAATGAACTAATGATCTCTTGTTCATTCTGTCCACTTTGTCAGCCATGAACACTGTAGTTGTATAATAGGAAAATAGTCTAAATTAAGTGAAAAGTGTTATTTTCATTTGGAACAGGCAATATAAAACTTTTTCTGTCCCCTGATTTCTTTGATAGCTCCGAAGTATTATATCTGAAAAGTTTGTAGGTCACTCTTGATTTGCAAGGTAGAAATGTCATGTACCTAGGGATATTCTTTAATTAGATGCTTATTTTCTTTTCCTCAAGGCAATATATGTATTCCTGAAAGCTGCAATTTTGAGTATGCTTCCAGAGGAGGATGTAGTATCAACGAAAGAGAATGTGGTAGCTTTATTCAGGTAAGCAAGACACTATAACAAAGACCTGATATAAATGAGCACACAAATACATCTTCTTCCTTTTTCCCTTAGTGTTTTCCCATGCTTCACCTTCATATTTCTTTAATTCACCTAATCATTCATACAGGAAACCTTAAAAAGTACATTTAGCCAAGAATCAAAATGCCGTCCTTTTAGGAGGATTTTACACTCATGCTGGTGTGATTGAGAACCTTGAGAACATGTTCTTTTATTTATGTTTTGAGGGTACGGTTTTATTATTGGGTTTTTGCTACTACTGAGTTTTGAACACAGTTTCCTAAGTTGGTGACGTTATCAAAAATGTTAACTATTGCTGTGAATAAAAGATATTTCGTGATCAGATAAATTTAAGAAACATGGTATAACATTTTCTTAGTCTTGTTAGTATGTTAAAGATTCTAGAGGCTCTGCTGTGAATAATCGGTTTAACTCTATTTAGACCAGTATTCAACTATCTATCTATCCATCCATAACCTTCCCAAGTAAGATGTAAGTCTATAACCTTTTTGTTGAGCATCTGCTATGTTGTTGTTGTTGGGTGCTGTTGAGTTGGTTCTGACTCATAGGGATCCTATAAGACAGAGTAGAACTGCCCCATAGAGTTTTCTTGGCTGTAGTCTTTACAGGTGCACATTACCAGGCCTTTCTTCCGTGGAGCCGCTGGGTGGGTTCTAACCACCAACTTTCAGTTTGCAGCAGAGTACTTAACCATTGTGCCACCAGGGCTCCTTTGTGTGGTCCCCAGAAGGAATCCTGTCTTCATGCAAACTCTGTGATCTTTAAACCATGAGTTTTCACGTCCAAGGCATATTTACCATCCCCCCCCGCCCCGCCCCCCCCGCACCTTCCTGCACCTGCATGTCCACTGCCTGTTCCACTGATGTTAATGAACACCACATCACCACATGATGGAGTATCCTGGTTTAAAATCCATATCCCCAACTTGTATCCAGAAATAACCTAACACAGGCTTGCCATAATATTAGAATATTTTTTCCCAGTTCCATCTTGCCTTTCTTTCAGTGATATAATTTGATTATTTCCCTGAATTCTTCCTTGCAACTTGTTTGAGTCACTTGCAAAGTTATGCATAAGAAAGTATGGCCAGGGACACATAGTCTCTCCATTCTACTCTCAGTTTTATGTGTTTGTGAATTTCAATCTAGGAATTCCTGAGAATTTTGAGAGGAAATATGTAAACGTGGTGCATGTCCTTAGCTGATTATTTCCAAAGTCACCCATATTTGGGAAACATTTTTCCAAATTACGAATTAATTGATGGGCTATCTTTTGAGCCCCATTGTTTTATCAATTTGTGTCATACTTGCAGAGAGGAATAGGAAATGTACTGGTATACCCTCTTCCCCTTCTCGAGTGTCTACAATAGAGTGAAAAATACTTTGGAATCTTTCCTGCTTACTTATAGAGATTGCCAATTTTAATACCTAGATTGCCTGGACTCAGTTTGATAGCTTAAGACATTAGTAAATTGACTAGAAAGAAGTAGTTGTAAAATCAGTGGTTCTCAAACTTACCCATTACTGTCTAATTAGTTCTGACTTGTAGCGACCCAATACGACAGAGTAGAACTGCCCCATAGGGTTTCCAGGGAGCGGCTGGGGGATTCGAACTGCCGACCTTTTGGTTAGCAGCCGAGCTCTTAACCACTACGTGGAGGGCTGGGTAAAATCTAGATTGCCGGCTCCCACCCTTGGAGTTTCTCATTCAGTAGATCTGGGTGGGGCCTGAAAATGTGCATTTCCAACAGGGTCAGGGTATGATGGACTTGCTGGTCTGGGGAGCATTCTCTGGAAACCACTGGTGTAAATGTGTGTGTTCTAACGACATCATCTTTTACTGCGGGTGGTGGCTGGGAATCTTCACAGACAGGTGGAAAGCCTGAAGCAGAGAATTGCTGGTAAATCTATTCCTACTGAGAAGTTTGCTGTGAGGAAGGCCCGACGGTACTCTCCCATGTTGCCTGCACCTGTGAAGCTCGTCTTACCTGCCCTGGTATCTATTTTATTTCCTATTTGAGTAGCAGAAATAAATTGTTGACTCATAGCAGCAGGAGCACATCTAACTTTTGTTGTGACCTTTGGCTCAATTAAAAACCATCTTAAGTGTTAAGTGAACATTTATAAATAATTTATTAGTTTATTAATAATTAAATAATAGCTAATTTTTGGGGTTTTTTTTTAGGTTGGTATGTTCCAGGCATTATGATAAAGACTATTTAAAAAAATACATAATTTAATTCTTACCATAACTCTATGAGGGTGTTTACTCTTTTTAGCCCCATCTTACAGATAAGGAAATTCAGACAGAGGTTAAGTTGACTTAATCAAGGTCACATTTTAAACTTAGTAGTAGAACTGATTCCAGAGCAGCATTGTCTAGTAAAATTATAATGCAAGCTACATATGTAATTTTGCATTTTCTAGTAGCTTCAAAAAAAAAAAGGAAACATGACATTAATTTTAAGATTTTATTTTATTTAACCCAGTATATGCAAAATTTTGGCATTTCAACATGTAGTCAATAAAATATTAATGAGCTATTTTACATTCTTTTATATTGCATTGACTCTTTGAAATCTGGTGTGTATTTTACACTTACCAAACATCTTAGTTTGGACTAGCTGCATTCCAAGGGCTGAAGGGCCACAGGTGGCTGGTGGCTGCCGTATTAGACAGCGCAGTCCTAGGGCCTTCATTCTTAATCATTATGCCATTTTGGTTATGCCTCTGTGAAAAGTACTACTTCAACTTAAATTTTCTTAATGCAGATTTTTAAAGAAGGACTGAGTATATCAAATCACTCTGACTCTTTGGGGTTTTAGTTTTGCATAGGTAGAGAGACAGCCCAGGAAGACCCATCAGTGAAGCAGACATCTTCAGTCCCTCTTTATGGTTTTCTGATTCATTGTTAGCAAGTGATTTGCATTGGGAACTTTTTTTTTTTGTCTCTCAGAAATTTCCTGAAAGTTTCCTAGAGCATTGTCGTTCTTTCTCAGCCCTTGTACTTAGATTGTAGTGTACCTAACTGTGTACTGCTCTGATTATTAAAGATCTTAAGAAAGGTTAACTCACTGCACTTGTTTCTCCAGGGTTATGAATATATAATGTATAGGGAGTGGACCTGGTTTGTGGTTGCCACGAGTTGGAATCGACTTGATAGCAACTAACAACAAGGAATTTTACAAGCTTGTTTTTCATAAAATCTCAGACACGAGCTTGCCTCCTGATAAAATATTCCATTAGTTATTGCGTTGAGCTCTTACTCTATTAATGATAAGACACTGCACACGGTAGAGTAAAGGTCGAGCGTCGTGATCTTAGTTCTCAATGCTGTGAAGTAAAGCTGGCTTTGCTGCTGTTCTGCATGAATGTGCCTTCCTCAGTTCCAGTGCTCCACCCATAAGGGCTTTTCAGGCAATACCTTTGTCACTTTTTAAAATCATTTATTTCCAAGAAGATACTAATTACCCTGCTTTTTTCATACCCTTCAAGACCTGAACTGCACTACCAGGAAAATTGGAAAAATATTTTCAAGCAAAAGCACGTTTGCTTTTGGTCCAAAAAAAATTCTCATCTGCTAGGTCCATTAAATGTAATCGGCAATGAGAAATCATCAGTTTACATTTTCAGGGGCTGTCTTTCAGCCATATGGCCTTTAAATGAATGCGTTTTCTGCATATTGGATTGCATTACTGGTCTGTCACATGTTTTTAATAGTATAAAAGGACCTGAGCCCAGTAAAATAGCTCTAATGTTCATTTCCAGTGACATTCTTGGAAACATTTTATGTAAACAACTGGCAGCATTTAAAAATGTTTCCTTTTACTTAAAAATAATGGCACAAATTTACATTAAATGAAATTGTTCATAATATCAGTTTAAAATATTATGTTTAGTTCTTTATCTGTATTCTGTCATTTTCCCAAGAGGATTAAGAACCAGTGGATTCTTAATAAATATTTGTTAAATGAATGAACATTAAATTTTCAGTAAAAATATATACACTGAATTACTTTGCAATATAAAAGGCAAAAAGCATATCATAAATGGGAAAATTATCTCACTGAACTTCAAATGAGGAAAGCTAAGGAAAATGATCCCTAACTGCTGTCTTGAGGATCCTAGCAACCAAGGCAAAACACACACATAGTTTTGTTTGTAAAGGGTGTAGAATAACCCTCACATAATTGCAAATGGTCTTTCATTCTTCCTCATTAGGAAATGATGTATGTCTGGAATGGTTTTCCAGTAGTGAGCAAAAGAAAAGACCTTTCTGAAAATTTGTTGGTAACTGTTGAAAAGGCTGAGGCAGCTTTGCAAAAAGAAAGTAAGTATGAAAAGTAAGAACCTAGCACTCCTTGTTTCTGCTCCCCTGATGTTCTCCTGTGTCTTCCCTGTGCTTATCTACCATGTTAATTTATGTGCATCATGAGAGCTTGAGCTGAAGGTGGCAGGGTGATTGCAACAGAATGAAAGGAGGAATGATACACGATGCAACATGGACAAACCTTGAAAATATTATGCTAAGTGAAAGAGAGCAGTCACAAAAGACCACATGTTGTAGGATTCCATTTATATGAAATGTCCGGAATAGGCAGATCCACAGAGACAGAAAGCAGATTAGTAGTTATACTAAAAACCATTGAATTGTACATTTTAAATGGGTGAATTATGTGGTCTGTGAATTATATCTCAATAAGGTTGTTAGAAAAAAGAAGATGAAGGAAGACAGTCATTGAGTTTTGGAGCAGCACAAAGAAGAGTTACACCTGCTCTGGTTTTAGTCTGTCGTGACTCTTTCCGTGTCTCCTAGGCTATTGTGGTTTTGCAGACACAGGGAAATGAATGTAATTTTCTTTGAATGTAAAATGGAAACTTGTGATGTTCATCTGTGAACACACACATGAGGTTGAGAATCATAATAAAGCATATTTTAAGGGAAAACAGTCATCGGATAGCTAGTGCTCTGTAGTCTGAGGAAGTGATAATGGTTTTGCTTTCTGAGGTTTTGGGAGGAATGTGGTATTTTTGAACCCATTTGCCATATTCCTATTCATGTTCTAAACAAAATTTAAGTGTGGCTTTACTGGTATTATAACTTTCCAGAGTGTTATGTTTGTTCCTTGGCAAAATCATCATTCCCTGAGCACCAGAATGTTGTGATAACACAAACTGTCAATAAAATGCTACACTGACCTTAATGGTATGCACAAAAATGATAATGAACAGTAACATCTGATACAGACTCTAAGCGTTTGGTTCTAGACTCTGAAAGATACTGTTTCTTGAATGCATATTTCAATGAGCATCTATGATTAGAAACATAGACAGGGGTGTGTGTGTATGTGTGTGTGTGCGCGCATGTGCATGTGCATAATAATAGTTCATAAAAAGAAATAGGAAAGGTAATGTGGTATTGATATTTGTGAATTTCTTGGTAAATGACCGATTAGGCCTTGGAAGTTGGAAGCAAATATTAGCTGTTTTCAGTACCCAGAAGTAAAGTTACCCCTTCCTAGTTGGCTAAGTAGCATCATTAACCTCCCACAGACAGTTTACTAACTAAAAAATCTGCACGTGTTCAGGATGATTTCTGAGGTTTGTATTAAAAGCGGAGAATTTCAATGTGAGGCGTCTTATGTCCTCATTAGGTCATTTTACGGTCTCTCCCATCTGTGTTGGCACAGCCTGAAATGTATAAATTATTAGTCTTGGAATGACTTCTTGGTTGAATGTAACTTGTAGAAAAACAGGATTCAAGAGTGGTAGATAGATATCCTAGATAGCATTGTTTCTTCTGCTTAATACATGTTTGCTTTGGGCTGTAGAAGGTAAAGAGTCATTTTCAAAAGGAAAAAAGTGGTGAAGGACGATCCTTTACATTTCCCTTAAGCAGTTAGAGGTGGGGGGAGTGAGCATTTTAGGTGTCTTTCATGTATTTCAGAACCATTTTGTCTAATTTTATTATATAATTTTCCCCCAAAAGAACATAACCTGGGAGAATTGATAATACATTGTAAACATAATGATCTGCAGAGGGCATTTTACTTCCTGAATTTTTAATGGGTATAAGGCCATCTGCTTCTCCATATGGGAGTGTTATCCTCTCCTGCATTGAAGCCAACACAGTTATAAACCAAAACTACAGGAGAAGCCAGTGCCTTGTTCCTTGTGGCTTTACCTTTCATAGAGCTGATAAAGCCCTTATTTTATTGAGAGTTCAGATTTCCTGTTGTTATATCTAAGATCACATATGTCAGAGTATGACCACTTAAATTTTTTTTTTTTTTTTAAGTACAGGCAGTCCCCGGATTACGGACAAGTTCCATTCCTAAGTCTGTCTTTAAGTCCGATTTGTACATAAGTCCGAACAGTTAGGTACGGTTCGTATCTAATGTCAGTCAAAGATTTGTCTTAGTATATAGTATATAGTGTACCTTTCTATGCATAAAAGACATTAAAGAAACATTTGCAGATACGCTAAAACATCTTTAACATAATATAGTAATAATAGTGATAATGTTTTGATGCAAAGCAGTGCCCATTTGTCATTACAAATCATTGTTATGTACCTCGAATTTTTAATAGAATAGGGTTACGGGGGTTGGTTCATAACTACAGGTTTTACGTAAGTTGGACATTTGTAACCTGAGGACTGCCTGTAGATAGGATGATACAGCAAATTCAGCTTTTTTTTAATTAAATGTTTTTTCATTGTATTTTCTTTAGCAAGACATAACAAATGCAAAAACATTCTCCTTATTTGTAAATGATCCTGGTGGCAACTAATGAGCTGTTAATTCTTCTTCTTCATTAGGCTTTTTAAACGTATTTTTTTGTGTGTATTTTTTGCTTCTTTTGTTTTAAGACTCGAATGATTACTTTACGGATGATGAGTGCCTGGTGAAGTTACTGAAAGGATGCTGCCTGAAGAACTTACAGCGGCCCTTGCAAGCTGAATTGTGTTTCAATCATGTTATTCAAAGGTAAAAACAAACAGTAAAGCCAACTCGAGTCCAACTGTGGTTTCTGGAGACTTGCCAAGAGAAAGTGATGCAGGATGCTTTTATCTCCTGCTGCTGACCGTTTACTTGGTGTCCCCAGAAAGAACACAGCCGTGTTGCCTTTGTTCTTTGTAAACAAAATTACAGTTCCTTAACTGGAACATGCCTTTCTGCACTTCCGCTTGGTGTTTAGAGATGACACACAAAAACTAAATTCATGGTTAGGCTAACAGGCATCCCTTCAGACTCTGGCAGTACCAGACCCCTGTGAGACTTTTTAAATTCATGTATTTGTCTGTCTTGTCACTTATTCTGCAAACATTGAGCACCTACTGTGCACCCTACATTGTGCTGGGCACTGGGGATTCAGCATGGCGTAAACAGACTTTGCCATCGTTGTGATTTTAATCTAGCGGGGAAGAAAGGGATGTGATGAGTTCTATAACTGCTTCTCTCTTGGCGGAGGGCATTTCTTCTGGTATGAGTTGGGTTTTTGTTTTTTTTAAATTGTGCTTTAAGGGAAAGTTTACAGCTCGAGTTAATGTCTCATTCAAAAATTTATACACACATTATTTTGTGACATTAGTTGCAATCCCCACAATGTAACAGCACACTCCCTCTTTCCACCCCGGGTTCCCTGTGTCCATTCGTCTTGTTCCTGTTCCTTCCTGCCTTCTCGTCCTGCTTTTGGACAGGAGCTGTCCGTTTGGTCTCATATATCTGATTGAACAAAGAAGCACGTTACTCACGTGTATTAGTTTTTGTTTTATAGTCCTGTCTAATCTTTGCCTGAAGAGTGGGCTTCAGGAATGGTTTCAGTTCTGGTGAACAGTGTGTCTGGGGGCCATAGTTTCGGGGGTTCCTCCAGTCTCTGTTAGACCATTAAGTCTGGTCTTATTACATGAATTTGAGTTCTGTTCTACATTTTCCCCCTGCTCTGTCTGGGAATCTCAGGGCAGTCATTTGTGGTAGCCGGGCACCATTTAGTTCTTCTGGTCTCAGGCTGATGGAGTCTCTGGTTTATGTGGCCCTTTCTGTCTCGGGCTAATATTTTTGTTGTGTCTTTGGTGTTCTTCATTCTCCTTTGCTCCAGTTGGGTTGGGACCAATTGATGCATCTTAGATGGCCACTTGCTAGCTTTTAAGACCTCAGATGTCACTCACCAAAGTGAGATGCAGTACATTTTCTTAATAAACTTTGTTATGCAAAATGACCTAGATGTCCCCAGAAACCATAGTCCCCAGACCCCTGACCCTGCTACTCTGTCCCTTGAAGTGTTTGGTTGTATTTAGGAAACTTCTTAGCTTTTGGTTTAGTCCAGTTGTGCTGACTTCCTCTGTATTGTGTGTTGTCCTTCCCTTCACCTAAGATAATTCTTATCTACTATCTAGTTAGTGAATACCCCTCTCCCTCCCTCCCCACCCTTGTAAGCATCAAAGAATGTTTTCTTCTGTGTTTAAACTTTTTCTTGAGTTCTTATAATAGTGGTTTCATACAATATTTATTCTTTTGCAACTGACTAATTTCACTCAGCATAATGCCTTCCAGATTCATCCATGTTATATTTCACAAATTCATCATTGTTCTTTATCGTTGCGTAGTATTCCCACTGTGTGAATAGACCATAATTTGTTTATCCATTTGTCTGTGGATGGGCACCTAGGTTGTTTCCATCTTTTTGCTATTTTGAACAGTGCTCCAATGAACATGGGTGTGCATATGTCTATTCGTTTGACAGCTCTTATTTCTCTCGGGTATATTCCTAGGTGTGGGATTGCTGGATCATGTGGTATTTCTATTTCTGGCTTTTTAAGGAAGCACCATATCCTTTTCCAAAGTGGTTGTACCATTTTATAGTCCTGCCAGCAGTGCATAAGAGTTCCAATCTCCCCATAACTCTCCGAACATTTGTTATTTTGTGTTTTTTGGATTAGTGCCAGCCTTGTTGGGGTGAGATGGTATCTTATTGTAGTTTTCATTTGCATTTCTCTAATGGCTAATGATGGTGAGCATTTCCTTATGTGTCTGTTAGACACCTGAATGTCTTCTTTCGTGAAGTGTCTGTTCATATCCTTTGTCCATTTTTTAATTGGATCATTTGTCTTTTTGTGGTTGAGATGGTGCAGTAGCTTGTAGATTTTAGAAATTAGATCCTTATTGGATATGTTATAGCCAAAAATTTTTTCCTAGTCTGTGGGTGAAGTCTTTTGATGAGCACAAGTATTTGATTTTTTAGGAGCTCCCAGTTATCTAGTTTCTCTTCTGGTGTTTGTGCATTGTTACTTATGGTTTATATACTATTTATGGCATATATTAGGGACCCTAGCATTGTCCCTATTTTTTCTTCCATGATCTTTATCATTTTAAATTTTATATTTAGGTATTTGATCCATTTTTGAGTTAGTTTTGGGGTATGGTATGAGATATGGGTCCTGTTTCATTTTTTTATAGATGGATATCCAGTTCTGCTAGCATCATTTGTTAAAGAGACTATCTTTTCCCCATTTAACGAACTTTGGGGCTTTGTCAAATGTCAGCTGCTCATAGCTGGATGGATTTACGACTTTGTTCTCAATTCTGTTTCATTGGTCTATGTGTCTGTTATTGTACCAGTACCAGGCTGTTTTGACTACCATGGCAGTAAAATAGTTTCTAAAATCAGGTAGTGTGAGGCCTCCCACTTTGTTCTTCCTTCAGTAATGCTTTACTTATCCGGGGCCTCTTCCCTTTCCATATGAAGTTGGTGATTTGTTTCTCCATCTCATTAAAAAATGCCATTGTGATTTGAATCTCGATTGCATCATATCTTTAGATCACTTTGGGTAGAAGTGACATTTTCACAATGTTGAGCCTTCCTATCCATGAGCAAGGTATGTTTTTGCACTTAATGTAGGTCTCTTTTGGTTTCTTGCAGTAGTGTTTTGTAGTTTTCTTTGTATAGGTCTTTTACATCTCTGGTTGAATTTATTCCTAAGTACTTTATCTTCTTGGGGGCTATTGTAAAGGGTATTGATTTGGTGATTTCCTTTTTGAAGTTCTCTTTATTGGTGTAGGGGAATCCAACTGATTTTTGTATGTTTATCTGGTATCCCTGATACTTTGCTGAAATTGTCTATTAGTTCCCATAGTTTTCTTGTGGATTCTTTGGGGTTTTCTGTGTATAAGATCGTATCATCTGCAAATAGGGGTTCTTTTACTTCCTTACCAATTTGGATGCCCTTTATTTCTTTTTCTTGCCTTATTGCTCTGGCTAGGACCTCCAGCACAATTGAGTTGGTTTTTTTAAAATTTATTTTATTTCCCAATAGCACTGATGATGATGTCGTACTACTTTACAAAACATGGAGTTGAATCAGGGTTCTGATTCCTGGCCCTCTTTTCTACATCTAGAGTCTACAGGGCCAGACAAGTAATGTTACTAAGAGAGGCAGGCTGAGCAATGGCAGGAACAAGGATTGGTGGGCCTGTGGATGAAGGAGATCATGTGTTCTCTTTCAAGAGTGCAGCCACTACTCAGCTCTGATTACTGCTGTGCACAGTGTAGGCCCACAATCCCTATAATTTTTCAAAAAAAGCCTGAAATCTGGACTTCATGTAAAATCTCCAAATTTTCAAATATTGGCTCTTCAGTCTTAAGCACCTAGATTGAAAGCTCATTGGCATTTTGTCATATTTGCTTCAACTTGTTTCTTATCTTTTGCTTGTTTTCAGTCTTTTGCTCTCACAAATAAAGCTGTGATGAATTACCTTCTGCATAATTTATTTTATATTTGTGGAGGTAGTATAGCTCTTGGGAGGTTCCTACCAGGGTAAAGTATCTATGATTTAGATATTGCCAAATTCCCCTCCTTTGGAGTGTGTCACCAGCAACTTATTCACCATCAGAGTGTGTCCTAGCTTTGGTTTTGGCACCAGAGAGCTTTTGTTATGAGCTAAGCTATGCATTTGAAAGGGTGTTACTCATTTTTTTTCCTAGTGCGTCTGTGTTTTGTAGCCAGAGTCTTCGTAATATTGCTGGAAAAGCGAGTGTTGACCAGAATCTTCATTAACATTTTAAGCATTATAAGATTCAAAAATATAAAGGGAGTTGAACATCAGTAAGAAATAATACAGCTTTATTTCTAAATGGAATCATGTCCTGAACACATTCACGTTCAGGAGGATGATCTTGCCATTTCCAGCTTTCTTCTTTAACAGTCTGCGTGCTTTCATCTGTCTAAGGGAAAATGATCAATCATCAGTGCTGGATTTAGATTAAGGAATAAAACAAAAGGTTAATATATTAAAAGTATAATATTTATTGCCATATTTTATTAGGCTCCTTAACTGTATAATGACTGTTTTTCCTTAAAATATTGCATTTTCTCTGATAATAGGCTTAGTGCTATACCTGTTTTCTGAGTAATGGGAAAAAATGGTAGGATGATATGTTTCTTGTTTTGTTAAAGCTTAATTGCTTTTTACTTGCTCTTTTAGCGAAAAGCTACTGAAATATGACCACTACCTAGTGCCATTTACTCTGTTTGAGTTGGCATTTTTGCATAAAAGCCAAGGAGAAATGGACAAGGCAATAAAGGTCCTAGAAACTGCAAGGTAAGCAATAAGGGCAGCTTTTCCTTGATCGCTATGGAATTGGGAAGTTTGTACTTGCATAACATTCTGGCTTCCGTAGGTATAACTGTTATTATCATTATAATAACAGCAACAGAAACATTACATATTTATGAATAAATTAATGCAAAATTAGTTATAATGTTACTTTTGCTAACTTATGCTAACTTAGGTTTATGTTCATGGCTTTTGCTATGATTGTGCTATTTCCAGCCCTCTTAATGCATTCCCCTCTAACTATTTATAGATTGAGTGATTGTGGACATTCTTTTTGAGAGATTTCTAACCTATTCAGTATTGGGGGTCAGTCTGTAAAGGGCCAGATTGTAAGTATTTTTGGCTTTATGGGATAAGGTCTCTGTTGCAACTATTCAATTCTACTATTGTATAGAAACCAGCTGTAAAGGACAAGATGTAAACAAATGGGCTCATCCAGATTTAGCCTGTGGGTAATAGTTGACCAGTCCCTGGTATATGTTAACTATAGCTATCATTTCCTTGAAGAGCCACTGATTTGATGAATCTCTTTGCATCTTTCTCTGATTCTTTCTCTCTAAAGTACTTTATCATTTTTGCTAGACAGTGACTCTTAGACTTGTGATCATGGCTCACTTAGGTGGGCAAAAACCCTGTGATCTGGTTGCCCTGAACACACCTCTGTGTGGTGGAGGAAGAATGCCATATAGCTCTAGACCATAAATAGCTTAATCGTTCATTGGCTGTTCATTTATTCAGTCAGTAAGTATTCACTGAGCACCTATTATGTGCCAGATACTAGTAAGGCTCTAGAGAACAACTGAAAACTAAGCAGGCAGTGGTTCTGCTCTCTTATTGGAAGGAAATAGTAAATAAACAAATAAGAAAAATATCAGTGATATGTGCTTTGCTGAGATTTACAGCGTGAGGAGAATACCTGGGTGTTACTTTATATTAGGTTGATTCTGGAAAGTTTACTTGAGGAGGTGATATTGTAGTTGAAATTTGCATAATTAAAGCCAGTCAGAAGAAGATCAGTGGGGGTGGGAGCATTCCAGGCAGAATCACAGCTAAGAATCCTCTAGATTGTGGGGTTGAGCCACGTGGTCAATGATGATATTTTTTACTGAGATTGGGAATCTTAGAGGAGCAGGTTTGGGGAGAAAAAAAGAAAACAACTCTGTTTGGGCCATGATAATTTGAGATGGCTATAGGTATCTGGAGCCCTGGTGATGCGTGATTAAGAGCCTGACTGCTAACCAAAAGGTTGGCAGTTAGAATCCACCAGCTGCTCCTTGGAAACCTTATGGGGCCATTCTGCTCTGTCCTGTAAGGTTGCTATGAGTTGGAATTGACTCGACAGCAACAGATTTGGTTTGGTTTTTATTAGGCATCTATGTGGAGATGGTGAGTTGACAGTCAAATGAAAAATGTGGAGTTTGGTAGGAAGGTCAGGGCTGAACGTAAAGATTTCAGAGTCACCAGCACAGAGAGTGGTATTTAAAGCCATGATACTTGATGAGGTCATCTTGGGAAAATTATATAGCTAGAGAAAGAGGTCCAGCACAGAGATTAGGATATGCTATTACTTAAAAAGATTAAACAAAGAAGAAGCTACAGAAAAAATTAAGAAGTGGTCAGTGAGTTAGGAAGGTAAGCATAAATTTCAAAAAGAAGAGTTGTTCACATTGCTGCTGAGAGGTCAAGCAAGGTAAGATCAGAGAAGTGGCTGCTGGGTTTGGTAGTGTGGCCATCATAGGTGACCTTGACAAGTGAAGTGAGAAACTGGAGCCAGCTACTTTAGGCAACTCTTCCAGGATATTTGCTGTGAATAGAACAGAGTAGTGGGGCAGAAACTTCAGGGCCATGGTGAAGCCAAAAAAGACTTCTTAAAAATTAAATTATTGATATGGGAGATAGGACAGCAAACCACGTTTCAAGTTATTTTGGTGAGAGTGAGGATGACTCATAATTCAACTGTGATATCTTCAAATCTAGCTACTGGGAAATTATGGACTATAAATGCTGTGGTTCTGAATGTTTATTATTTGAACATATTTAATGTTACCTATTTAATATACAATAAGCTAAGTGTATAAAAATAAAGACTAGTAATTCACTACTAAAAAGTAAGATTAGCAGCAATCAAAAACCCTCACTAACTCAAGACATTACTGATGATACAAACGTAAACATACTTCCCAGTTGTCTGTAGTTTCTCTTGTACGATAGGAACTTTGTGGCCAGACATTTAGGAAAATACTCAATTACATCCTTTGGTAAACTCTAGTAGTATGTTGATTTTAGTTTATGAATAATACATTTAATAACCCTTACCAAGGTTACCACTAAGTAGCCCTTAGACCTGTATAAAATGAAGAGCTGTAGGAATGAGTGCCGCTGCATAAGAGTAAGTTATGACCCATTCATGGGCCAAGGCAATATGTGAAAGCCCAAAGTCCAAGCCATTCCTGTTTTGCTGCTTCTTAGCAATTCTAGCAAAGGGAGGCCAACATGAATGTTCTAAGCAAGGTTTGAAAAGGATCTGTGGATTTCCGTGCCCTCTCTGACCTTGTCACACAGTATGTATTGGCCAAACCATTGCTATTTGCATGTGAGAACTGGAGTAATTCTCCACTAAGTAATTCTGTCACTAAGTAACCCTGCTTTCTTTGTTGTTTCATGGTTTTTCTTTACTTTGGAGTGACTGATCATGCTCATCATATTTACTTGAGGCTGCTTCCAATTTTTCCAATTCACAAAAGGAAGTCAAACTATTTAGGAGGAGTTTACAAAATTTGTTTTAGGAACAGCTCACATAAACTTCTTATTCTTTCTGTGAATGGCTTGGTAATTAAGTTGAACTTTGCTACTCAAGTGTCATCTTTGGACCACCAACAGGAGACTTTAAAAAATGAGTAATTTTCACCCATCCCCACCCCACCACCACAGAGTCATAATCTGCATTTTAATAAGATCCATTGTTACATAAAAGTTTGAAAGCAAATAAAGCCTGGAGGTTAGAAAGAAGGGGAAGGTAGTGGTGCCCTGATATACAAAGCTATTTTAATTGTTGCTAAAATTTATATTGTTATAAAATTTAAATTGTTACTAAAACATATAATTTTATTGTTATTGTCTTCAGAACCAACTACAAAGATTACTCCATGGAGTCTCGACTACACTTCAGAATTCAGGCAGCTCTTCACCTCTGGAAAAAACCTCCCTCAAATTAATCAGAACTTGAAGGATAGAGTTTTCCCTCAATTAGCACTGACATCTGCTGTAGATTAGGACTTGTATTAAAGTATAAAAGTGATCTTGTAACTGAGAGACAAACTAATTTTATTGTCAATATTTTCTATCATCTGTTTGGTTTACTGTCAGACTACATAAATGTTTGTTTTTTCCTAAGGAATGATGTTCAATACTATCTAGAAAATTCTTATATTTTGCCTCTCCAAAAAAATTTCATATTAGATTTGACTGGGGAGTGAAGAAGACTTTTAAAAGACTCACAGGTACAGTAAGATCTAATTAGATTATTTATTTTTTTAATGTGGAAATTAATATTGTTTAAGTAGCAAATGGGTTATAAGTTGAGCCATATTTAGATTTGTTGGCCAGTTAAAGTTCAGATATATTTTATTGCCTAGTTTTTAAATTTAAGAAGGGAAATATAAATCACCTAAACTCAAAATAGCTTGACAATGACCTTCTGAAGACTTCTGGAAGACAGGCACAGGGATGCGTAGGGACGGAATAATGTTTCAGCTGCATAGTAGGTTGAAGAGAACTGTATCTAGAAAAGATGATGAAATAGTAAGTTATTTTTTTTATTCTTCATGCTGGTTAAAAAGATGGTAACATCTTTAAGAGACTATCCTCTTTTTGAATGTACTTAAATCTATTATAATAGCAAAATTTGAAAAAAAAAAGTGTATCTAAATAGAGGAAGAAAAAGTCATATTTTGAGAAGTTATCCTTAACCTTAGCAGTGAGAGTCCTACAATATATATGTTGATTATTTTTCATATAGGAAGCAAAGTGAATTTCCTGCTGCTTTCAATGATATGTGAGATAGCAATAAGTTTTACACTCATGAAGTTGATCTAATTTTGTAATCTCTCTAGGACTTTGCCAATTACTTGTAAATATCTGGATGGTGCTTAGTTCTTCAACTGGGAGATGCAATCGAGGGATGGTGTGGAAGAGAGCTCCACTCTGTGGGGTCCTGGCTTTGCTACAGGTTAGCAGTGTGACCTTTAGGTAGTCACTTCCACCCATCTGTGAAATGGAAAAAGACCAGATGACTCTCTAGGTCTCTTTCAGTTTCATAATTGTGAGTCTGTTTATTAGGTATTTATTTATAACAATGTAAAATGTTTAATCACAGACCATTCCAACTTAGAATGTGTTTTATTTTATAATCATCACCTTCCCCCTACCCCCTCCGCCCCATTATGTATGTGCTGTGGCTAAGGACCAGATTGATCCAGAGTGCGGAAAACAATTAGGGAATCCATGAATCAAGGTTTTGTCTTATTTCTGTGGTGAAGAAGAATGACTTATTATGGAAGCCTCTGCAGTTTAACAGAAAGAGCCCCAGGCTGGGAGTCAGAAGCCCATCTCTGTAGGTTAACAGTTCCGTTAACATGGACCAAGTCACTCACCCTTTCTGGGGCTCACTTTCCTCATCTGTACAATAGGGATAGCAACATAGTACTTGGTGCTTATGAGAATTCGATTAGCTAATGTATATGATAGCTCTTTATAAGCTGTGAAAGGCTATGTAAGTTTGAGTTGTTTTGACAATTGTGGTTTTTGTGCACTGGTTACTGTATCAACACAAAAGTATTGGCTGATTCTGTGATCTCTGCTATAAAAGGTGGAAATTCAAACACCTTTAAATTTATTCATGTGTTTGACCATGACAATAGCTCAGTTATTGAATTTGCTGCTTGTTATTTCTTGCTATATTAGCCTGTATCCAGTGGGTATGTGGTCTTTTTACTTTAATGTACTGATTCCTGACTGTGGATGCATTTGCAACAGAAGATGATTAATATAACATAAGCCAGAGAACCACCCCTTCAGAGTGTATGGTATCAATATGAATTATATTACTTTAGATTCAGACAAAAGAGGAAGTAAAATTAACCATCACTACAATTAGTAATGGAAAATATGTTCAATAATTATTTTGTATGTAACTTTGAGGAAAAGTTTACAAATTCCTTAGAAGAGTTTTGTTAGCATTATTTTTTAAAGCATATACACCCATATTGCTTTTGTGAGAAGCTGCAATTCAGAGCTGAAAGTCTGTAAAATAGATCTCTTTCTGGAGCCCTGGTGGGCATAGTGGTTAAGAGTTTGGCTGCTAACCAAAAGGTTGGCAGTTTGAATCCACTGGCTGCTCCTTGGAAACCCTATGGGGCAATTCTACTCTGGCCTATAGGGTTGCCATGAGTTGGAATCGACTCGATGGCAGTGGGTTTGTTTGTTTTTTGGTATAAAGTGAAAAAAATTTAAACTAATAGTAGTTTTTATTTTCTTTAACTCTGTGTTACCAAACAAATATAAGAGAAGTTTATATATCCCATTTACATTTTTCCTGTTATTTTATTTCTATTATTACTTCCTATATTAATTTGCTAGGGCTCCGTAACAAATTTCCATAGCCTGGGTGGCTTCAAACAACAGAAATTTATTCTCTCACAGTTCTAAATGCTAGAAGTTTGAAATCAAAGTGTCCAGAGGGCCACCTTCCCTCTGAATGCTCTAGGGGAGAATCCTTCCTTGCCTCTTCCTAGCTTCTGGTGGTTGCTGGCAATTCTTGGTATTCCTTGGCTTACAGCTGTATCACTCCAATCTCTGCTTCCATCATCACATGACCTTCCTCCCTCTTTTGTCTCTCTGTGTGTCTGTATATAAATCTCCTGCTCCTTTCTCTTATAAAGACACCAGTCATTGGATTTAGGGCTCACCCCAATCCAGTATGAACTCACCTTAAGTTGATAACATCTGCAGAGGCCCATTTTCAATCAAAGTTCCGGGAGTTAGGACTTGAACATATCTTTTTGGGGAACACAATCCAACCCACTACACTTTCTGTTCTTTTTATCCAATATGGATAATCTACCCTAGATTCTTAAAGTGCTGTAATATCACTGATGCTACAAATATTTAACTGTTACCTGCCATGTTCAAGGCATTGTGGTGGCACCAATTTCTTGTGGCATCAGCTACTATTGTGTTTTTGGAGTCATTTTGTGAATTAGGGTGTTCTGTGAAGAATGAGTACTGAAGTGACAGTTTTTTAATCTAGTCTTTTGAGGGGCATATTGCATGGAGGTTGGGCTGCCAGTGTGTAGTCCTTGGTATTACCCCTCCTCCTTTTTTTAATGGAGAGGTAGAGTTCTAATTGGTTGGTGCTCTGTAAATGTAGGACTCATGTAGAAGTTATTCTTTGTAGGATTGGTGACAAGGAAGGCATGATTTCTGCTTGACAATTAATGGGAGATTAACTACATCAGCTGTTATATGGACACATATTTTAATGTTTTCTATGCCTCTCCTAGATACAAGAAAGTTCCAAGATATATAGAAAAAGAAGTTCACTTATTCTCTGCATCTTCAGAGGGCAGAGATGGTCAAGTGTGTAGAAGTTGTAGGGAGGTGAACTCCAGATTTATCAGTGTCAAGGAAGATTTTCAATCTTTGGAGCAATCCAACAGTGTAACCAGCTCTTTTGCTAGGAGGGTGAGTTTAGCAGGGCTATGTGATCCATTCCTTCCTGGCCTGGAAACTTGGACTAGTTGAACTCTGAGGTCATTCTATGATTCTTTGATCAGGGCTTCAAATCAGTGTGGTGCTTATAAAGAAGAAATTTCCCCCCTTCAAATAAAAAGATGAATGTTTCCTCTTTCCAACTACTTTTAGAGGTAGTTATATCATCATATGCACTAATAGTACCTTCTAGTAATACTCATGATTCCTATTCTCATCCATTCTTTTAAAGTGAGTCTGTTGATCTTATGAATAATATTAAGAAGTTTTTCTTTCCTTGGACATTAAAATTAAAAAGTTCTTTTAGACCACCTGGAAAAATTTTTAGGATTACTCTGATTAAGTCTTCATTGATTTTTTCCCCCATATTTCTGTTTTTTTCCTAGTTGTATTTTCCATATTTATAAGTCATAAATTCAAATAAGTTTTGTCAAAATTGAGTTGAATCAAGACTCCAGTGATCATTTTGATGCCCTAAGATTTTATGATTTATTGGGCCTGGAAGGGATCTTAGGGAATTATCTTGTCCTCCCCAGCCTTTAAACAGTGTTGTTACTCCTCTAGTTCTGTGCTGTCCAGTATGGTAGCCACTTGTTACATGTGGCTATTGTGTACTTGAAATGTGGCTAGTGGTATATACGGGAATGATGCTGAGTGTTGACGGGGCCATTCATGCATTCAGTTCTGTTTCAAGGCCTCCCAATATCATACTTCCTGGAGGTCTGCCATTTACTTGCTGTCTACTGTGATCACCCGAACACCATAGTTGCATTGACAGTTGTGTGTCAAATGTGTATCTTAGAAGTTTGCTTTTTCTGTTTAAGTGCCCTTAAATTTTCATTTCATCACGTTTATTCATGCTTCTGCAGATCATCAAGGTCATTAGCACCTTCAAACATTATTCTTTCCCCCTCAGAACTCCTTATATACTAGACTAGGGGACCTTATTTGTAAGATTACTATTTGAATGTAATTTTATAGACATTCCTTGCTTTTTCAGATATATCATGATGAAAAACTTAAGCCACCGTTAGCACAAATTGTTCGAGTTGTAGAGAAAGTGACTCTCACTTTTGAGATGTTAGTAAATTTTCTAAGATAACATTATTCTGAAAAAATTATCATTTAAATATTGAATCTCCCAGCTAGCCCAATGTTACTATTTAAAGGTTTTTAGACACAAGTTACCCACTTAGATAATAACTTGAAAATGTTTATTTAAAGTTGTATATTTTATGCCATTTTCAGTCTCTACTAATATTTTTGAATGTGTATGATACCTAAGTGATATGCAAAAATATAATTAAGACATATTTTTAATCTCTTAAAACATTTCTAGATCAAGTACCTCTGTCTGTCTGTGGATAGACTGATAGATACAAAACAGCTTACAACATTAAGTAGACAGTGTTTTATACTGTGCTTTGAGGAAGAGTGCAGGATCTATTCCAGATTGTTCCCTGTCCCTCAGTCCAGTTATTTGCATATTTTTCTATTTAAGTGTTAGGTTGGTTGTTGTGGAACCCTATTCCTATTTCCCATTGTTGGTAATTTTGTCTTTTATATATTTGCTGTTAGATTTAGTTACTTTAGAATGTTAAACTTGAAATTTAATGAATGACACATCAAAACTTATTAGGAGGGAGATATCTTTTGTGTTTAGCAGTCGCTGTCTGACCTTGATGGTTAGACTTTTATCTTAAGACGAGACTGTTAAAGTCCATTCCAGTCTGTTTATAATTTCATAACTATAGGAAGTAATAATGCGAGGACTATCTAGTGGATTGAGTTGGCTGAGCAGGTTCGTGTCATGAAGGATCCAGAAAAGGGATACTTGGATCTAGCCTCAGAGTAAGTCCTGTTTGCAAAGTGCCTATGACATGCCTTCAGCGCAGTAATACTGTAACATCACTTTGCATGGAAGAATCAAAGTAGCTGCCACACTGTATTTAACTAAAAAAAAATGCCTACAGATGCGTACAGATTGGTTATTTAATAGGAAAACTCAACATACTTTAATAGCAAACTTCATTAAGTAAAACTTTTTGAATATTAATATGTAATACACCTTGTATGTTAATCTAATAGTTCTTAGAAATACATAATTTAAATGATGAGTTTAAGAGATGCTGACATATCCCAGTGGGAGCTTTTGTTTATTGCTACTTAATATTTTCTAGTAAATTGGTTTTAATTATTGTAGTCTGTTGGGCACCATTTGGGGGAAAACAAAAAAGAAGAAAGATGGTCTTAGTGTAACTGAACTGATAGCCAGAGAAACTGAATATAATGAGCATGTTAAAGATTATTACTTACCATTTAATTTTAAAACAAATTACATTATTTTGAAATGCTGGAAGGTCTTACTCAATTTGAAGGTATGGTATTCTCTGCTTTGGAAATCATGCATATATTTTAATTCATTCTTATCTTTAATGGAGCCAAATGCCCACGAGGCAATTTAGGGTGGGATGTAGTAAATGGTAAATGTGTTTAAACAATTTTCATTAGTTACTTCATTTTTTCACGAAGTGATTTTATTTTTCATAGTAGACAATTTCTATGTAGTGACTCGTTTTTTAGTTTGTCTTTTTTTCTTTAAGAAAATAACTTACATGAAAAGAGAGATTATGGTAAACATTTTAAATCTTGGGCTGTTGGTTAGATTTAATGGCTTAAGAAAACAGTACTGCTGGGTTCTGTTTAACTAAGATTTGCTGAAGGAAAACACATGTATTTCACTGATATGTACTGTCCAGCAAAATTACTTAAATCTCAACAATATGTTGCAGTCCTCATACTGTGTTTGGGAAGAATTTATAATTAAATAGTTTATTTTTTATTATGTTCTTCTTCCCTTTGCTGACTGTTGGCATCCAAAACCTGAATAAATACCAGCATATCCATTTATATACTAGTGTTTTAAAATATTTATTTGCAAATGTTCATGAAACACTTGAATTTTTTCATGCAAGTTGCTAAATCATATGCAAAAACAAAATATATATTTAATTAAGTGGGAAGTATTATTTTATTACTGAAATTTATTTCCAAAGCAAATTTATTTTCTAGGCACTTCATTTGGCAAATTTTGCTTTGCCTTCAAACAAACAAACAAACGAATAAGCCTCTTATGTGATATGGTCACCTAAGAACCCAAATGTTTAACCTGACATGTAAGGGATTTTGAAAATTCTTTAACATCATGTATTTTTCCACCTTTATTTGGATTAAACAAAAATAAAGTTGGAGGCCATAGGCATTTTGTAAACCAGTGTGAAGCTACCTGTTGAATCATCAAATCATCCCTATATGTACTTTATAATTCACTGTTCTATTAGTAAAAATTGTCAGCATTTTATCTCATACTTTTTCTCATTACATTTGAACTTCACTCATATCTTTCCCATTCCCAGTGGTCACAGTTTTACAGAACAAAACATTTTAGAAATTGAAAACATGTAAATTCTATGTGAGATGAATGTGTAAGTAACATCCATCTGCTGATCAATTAGGAATTTGATCTGGTCCCAGAAAGTGAAATAGACTGTAGCTATCAAAGCATTTTATCAACAAAAGATTAGAAGAAGAAAGCTATGAATTTCAGATATTTTTAATATAAAAACTGTGTTTCCAATTAGAATTCTCTTTTGCTGACTTTGTGTTAATGTTATCATTTCTGATTTGTAAGCTAATACTGATAAGAGATCTAAGTTCTCAACACGAAGGCAGCAGTTCCTGTAGCCTATTTTTAATGTTAAGACATTTCCAGAAACAGATGTCATCTTAGAAATTGTATTTTTAAGCACAAATAAATCACCTCAACTTGAAAGTCTACATGTTTTATTTTTCATTCCTTAGCATTACTGAATTCTCTGTGTTATTTGATACATGTTTAAGTTGCAAGATTTTCTCAGAATTCTGTTATTTACATATTGCCACAACTGGTTTACCTACAACATGCAATTGAATTATTATTTAAATAAATGACACTTGATGGAAGTACAGTCTTGTTCTTGTTGGCCTGTACGTGAAAGACGTGCACAACATCTGTTTTGCTGGTATTTAACTTTTATGCAGTGTAAAGTTGAATTTTTATTTCTTCTTGTTGTTGTTAGCTGCCATCAAGTCTACTCCAACCATCGACTATGGAAAAATAGGAAAACCATTCTTAGCTTGTGAGTTCACACAAAAACAGGTGACGAGAAGGATTTGACCTGCAGGAGTTTGCCAACTTCTGGTTTACAGAACATCAGTTAGAACTCTCACTCTGATGTCATTTTGAAAACTTTGAATTCTCCTCTGAAGTCTTCTATTGGGCATTGGGAAGGAGATAGTCGAAGAGGTGAGAGGAAAAGGGGACAACTAACTAGCTAGTCAGATTAACCATGTTAACCAGTGGGGTCAGTGAGGTGACATATGTCTGTATATGCTCCAATCCAACAGCTGCCTGTCTGAAGCCTTCAGATAAAGAAAAAAAATCAATAAATACTACTTCAAACAAACAAAAAAAGTAGTATTTCCAAATTTACCTTTTGATAAGTTGTAGCTGACATAAGGCTGAAGCAAATAAATAATAGCTTAGTTAAAAACAGAAGAAATATTGAACTGGAAAACTCCCCTCCCTTTCTCTTTCTCTGATGGTGAAAATGGCTGCAACGCTTTACCTCTCTGTACCCATACCCACTAAAGGTGACACTATAACTCCTCCCATCAAGGAGTGGAGTCTAGATCCTGCCTCTTGAAGTTTTAAAATATCTCCTAAATTCTTTGACACTCCTCCCATAGAGAAAGAGGGCCTGTGTTCTCTCCCCTTGAATCAGTGGTGTGACTGCTAGACAAGAGGGAATACAGTGAAAGTGGCATTGCACCAATTTTGGGGCTAGGCCTTCAAAAACTAGCAGCTGCCATTTCCTCTCTTGGGGTGCTTGCTCTTGGAATCCAGCCTACATGTTGTACAAAAGCTAATCTGCCTCATATATAGTCTCACACAGACAGGAATTTGCTAGCCGTGTGAGTGCCTCATCTTGGAAGTGGATCCTCTAGTGCTAGCTGAGCTGCCCCAGCTGACATCTAGTGGATCAGAGATGAGCTATCCCAATTCAGTCAGTTGGCATAATAGAGTTCACAAAGTTCATGTTCTGCATCCTAGGAAGGTGAGCAGCCATCTAAGATGTAGCTATTGGTCGCTACTCATCAGGAGCAAAAGAGAAAGAAGGCAACCAAAGACTCAGAGAAGAAACCAGTCTACAGAGCTAAGAGCCTACATGAGCCACGGCATCATCTACCCTGAGACCAGAAGAACTAGATGGTGCTACCACTATTGACCATTCTGATCAGGCCACAATAGATGGACCCTGATAGGATGGGAGAAAAACGCAGAACAGAACTCAAACTCTTAAAGAAGTCCAGACTTACTGGACCATTTCCAACTATTGCCCTGAGATACTCTTGAATCGGAATTATCCGCTGAGGTCAAACTTTTAGTGAAACAACATAGTGGCATACAAAATAAAGGATATGACCTGTGAGTATGGTGCTTCATTAAAAAACCATCTATATGAGACCAAAATGTCAACAATTAAAGCAAAGATAAGAGAAGGGCAGGGAAACTAGAGTACTGGAAATGGAACAATCAGAATGCAATTAAAGAGAATGTCGACACATTATGAAAAATGTAACTAGTGTTACTGAACAATTTGTATAGAAATTGTAAAACAGGAACCTAACTACTGTGTAAACATTCACTGAAAACACAATAAAAAACTACTATTAAAAAAAAAGATAAGCAGCCCCCGCCAATACCTGACCAAACTGCAGATTTGTGAGCAAAATAAAGGATTGTTGTTTTAAGCTAAAAAAAAAAAAAAAAAAAAAGTCTACTCCAACTCATGGCAAACTTGTGTGTCATAGTAGAACTATGCTCCACAGGGTTTCAATAGCTGATTTTCCAGAAGTAGAGTGCCAGGCCTTTCTTCCTAGGTGCCTCTGGGACGTGAACCCCCAAACTTTTGATTAGCAGCTAAGCACATTAACTTTGCACTACCCAGGGACTCTGTTTTTTGGTAAGACTCTTAAATTTACTTTTATTTTGTAACCTAAACAGGCACTTATGAAGGCCCTTCTTTGTGCCATGTTCTTGGCTGTGCACAGAGCAGGAAGAGCTAAGTGCGGTAGTACAGTTTTCCTGAGGAAGGACTGCCTTCTCCTTCATCTTTTTGTAATCTATTTAGTAGTTCAGAGATTTAGATTAGCTGATAGCGTGTCCAGTTTAAGGAGAAGTCCTTAGCATTCAGTGTAGCACAGTGGAAAAAGTACTGGACTCTGGGAATCAAAGGGACAGCATTTGAGGCTGGACTTGACTATATAGTGGCATGTATCCCCCTCCCCCAGCCACTGAATTCTCTGAACTTTGCCCACCCAAACCCACTGCCATCAAGTCGATTCCAACTCATAGTGACCCCATAGGGTTTCCAAGGCTATAAATCTTTATAGAACCAGATCTTTATAGAACCACATCTTTCTCCCTTGGAGCCTCTGGTGGTCTTAAACCGCCATCCTTTCTGTTAGCAGTCAAGCACTTTAACCACTGCACCAGCAGGGCTCCTTGAACTTTGCCCAAGCCCCCTGTAAAATGGGGACGATTCCACTACCTTATTCAGCTCTTGGGAGGACCAGAGGAGGAAGTACGTAAGAACCACAAAGGGCCTAAATGATATAAAATACTTTCACTCCTCCCTGTAAGAATTACAGTAAGCTGGGTCATATGGGTCATTCTATGTTTAACTTTTTGAGGAACTGCCAACTGTTTTCCAAAGTGGCCGTACTATTTTATATTCCTACCTGCATTCTATGAGGGTTCCAATTCCTCTACCTCCTCACCAATGCCTCTTACTGTCTTTTTGGCTATAGCCATCCTAATGGGTGTGAAGTGGTATCTCATTGTGGTTTTTACTTGCATTTCCCTAGTGACTGACAATGTTGAATATCTTTCTCTGTGCTTATTCGCCATTTGCTCAGCATACAAATTGAATAAGTATGGTGAAACAATACAACCTTGATGCACACTTTTCCTGACTTTAAACCACGCAGTATCCCCTTACTCTGTTCCAAGGACTGCCTCTTGGTCTATGTACAGGTTCCACATGAGCACAATTAAGTGTTTTGGAATTCCCATTCTTTGTAATGTTATCCATAAGTTGTTACAATCCACACAGTTGAATGCTTTTATACAGTCAATAAAACACAGGTCAACATCTTTCTGGTATTCTCTTGAAGCACTTACTGATGAAGATCAAACACCACAGCCTTCAGTATGGATTACACCTCAACTTAAAGAAAAAAAAAATCCTCACATCTGGACCAATAAACAACATCATGATAAAGGAGAGAATATTGAAGTTGTCAAGGATTTCATTTTACTTGAATCCACAATCAACCCTCATGGAAGCAGCAGTCAAGAAATCAAATGACGTATTGCATTGGGCAAATCGGCTGCAAAAGACCTCTTTATGTTAGCGGGTGGAAACCCCAGGTTCTTACTCTGTATGACTTGTATTGGCCAATAAACGAGAAACTGAGGTGGGAGAATGAAAAAGGCACCTTTATTTCGTTGTACAAGGAAATGGAGCCAGTTGGAGCTTACCGCTGCCAAGACGGATCACCGAGGGCGGACAGGCAGGTTACTTTTAGAGGGGTTTACAAGTAGGGAGTTCATACAAGTTATGTCAGCAACATTCTTAGTCATACTACGCAGGCACAATGGGGTTTACATATAACCTCCAAGCAAAAGCAGGATTCAAATGCAAAGCTGGGGAGCTGGGGGGGAGCCCAGCAAAGGAAACAATTTTTTGCAATACAACACTGTAGGGAAGGAAGCCAGGTAAAGAATACAGCACTGTGGGGGTTCTGTCTCACTTAAAGTGTTGAAAGCAAAGATGTCAGTTTGAGGACTAAGGTGTGCCTGATCAAAGCCATGGTATTTTCAGTTGCTTCATATGTGTGCGAAAGCTGGACAATGAATAAGGAAGAATGAAGAAGAATTGATACCTTTGAATTATGGTGTTGGCAAAGAATATTGAATATTACCATGGACTGTACATTGGAAGAAATACAGCCAGAATGCTCCTTAGAAGCAAGGATGTTAAGATTCCATCTCACATATTTCAGACATGTTATCAGGAGGGACCAGTCCCTGGAGAAGAACATCATGCTTGGTAAAGTAGAGGGTCAGCGAAGAAGTGGAAGATCCTTGACAAGGTGGATTGACACAGTGGCTACAACAATGGGCTCAAACACAGCAACAATTGTGAGGATGGCGCAGGACCAGGCAGTGTTTTCTTCTGTTGTATGCAGGGTCCCTGTGAGTCAGAACTGACTTGACGGCACCTAACAACAACACCGGACATTTATAAATCTTCTTTGGAGAGAAACATATTAAATCCTTTATTTTTAAAAATGTGGTTGTCTTTTTATTGTTCAGTTGTAGGGATTCTTTATATATTCTGGATATTAGATCCTTAGCAGATATATGATTTGAAAATATTTCTCCCATTCTGGGTTGTCTTTTTACTTTCTTGATAGTGTCCTTTGATGGGTAAAGGTTCTTAATTTTGATGAGGTTCAATTTATCTATTTTCGTTTTTTGGTTGCATATGCTTTGGTGTCAAATCTAAGAAACCCTTGCTTAATCTAAGGTCACACAGATTTACACCTGTGTTTCCTTCTACGAATTTATAGTTTTAACACTTACATTTAGGTCTTTGATGCATTTTGAATTAATCTTTTGTACATGGTGTGCGGTAAGGGTCTAGCTTTGTTCATTTACATGTGGAGATCCAGTTGTCCCAGCACCGTTTGTTGAAAAGCACACTGGCTTTTAAAGCTTCCATCGAGAAGTTTCACACGCATCATTTCCACTCATTTCATTGGTTTCAGCAAGTCATATGGTAATACCCAACTTAAAGGGAACAGGTTAAGTATATTCTTATAAATCTGCTCATGGTTCCAAGTTTACATGTTATCGTTTCAGTCACACAAAGATGACGGGCCTTCTCAGCTGAGGTTCCAAATCCTTGAAGGAGGAAGCTCTTATTTGCCTAGCTTGGGAAGAGTGCTGATCCTCCCATGGACAATTGTGATCAAGGAAACAGGGTCATTTAGGACAAACATGGCTGCTGGAAGTTCACCCCTATGGACATTATAAACCAGGCAAGCTATGCCCCAAAATGTCCCTGATGGCTATGAATTTAATTCTGGTTTAGGTTACTTGAAAATTATCTACAAGTGTATGTTCCCTGATTGTACTTTTGTTAACCAAATATTTATTGAGTTTCTACTATGTGCTGCCAGACTGTTCAGGGCACTTGTGAAATACCAGTGAATAAAACAAAGATTGCTGTTTTCATGGAGCTTATATTAAAGTGGAATGAGGCTGACAATAAACAGTAAATGTGATAAGTAAATTATATAATACAAGGGCTGGCAAATTAAGGCCCCCAGGCTGACTGCCTGTTTTTGTAAATAAAGTTTTATCAGAACACAGTCATGCCCATTCATTTGCATATTATCTATGGTTGCTTTTGCACACAAAGGCAAAGTTGAGTAATTGCAACACAGACTTTATAGCCTGCAAGCCTAAAATATTTATTATCTGGCCCTTTAAAAAAAAGTTTGCCGACCATTAATATAATGTAGAAGGTGATGGTGCAATGGAGAAAAATAAATAAAGCCAGGTAAAGGGAACTGGGGATGTTGGAAGGGAAGGCTGTCAGGCAATTTTAAACAAGATGGTCATCATCTGCTTCTTTGAGATGGTGAATTTTGAGTAGAGACTTGAAGGAAGGCAGGGAGTGAAATAGATATCTGGGGGAAGAGTATTTTAGGCAGAAAAAAAGTCAATGCAAAGGAAGGATTGTGCTTCTTTGAACAGCGAGGAGGCCATTTGGCTGGCCTAGAGCGGGGGAGAGGGTTGTAATAGGGGGTGAGTCAGATAAGTATCAAGAACTGTGCAGGGTCTGACATTTTACCCTACTTTCAAGTTAAAAAGTTTAGCCTGCATGGTTTCATACGTACTGGCAGAAGACCTGAGACTTCCTGGGTCAGCAAGAAAAAACTTTTTTACTCATGGCACAGCAAGCAGCAAGAACATAAGCATATTTGGGTCAGTTCCCTTGCCCCCCAAGTCCCATGAAGTGATGGGGAGGGGCTCAGGTGGATGCTGTGACCCCAGTGGGTTTTCATTACAGCGGAGAAGCCCCGAACTTAGGGAACACGAACCTTTTACAATGGACTGCAAGTAAACCTGCCTGACTTTTGCTCTAGAAGGAGACATTATCTTTGTTACACTGGACAGTAGACAAACCTGCTCTCTGCTGGTGGAGAGGGGGACACTATCTTCCAAGGCTGCTTGCTATACAAACTTTCTTGAAAAGATGGTCTAGAACAATGTTGGTCAGTGCCTCTGCTTACAAGAGTGCAGAAATGTGAGAGGCCATGGAGAACTGTCTCCAATAACAGGTTTATAAACCAGTCACCATAGAATTGACTCTAACTCACCATTTTAAGAACTTCAATTTTCACTCTGACTGAAATGAGGAACCATTGCAGAGTTTTGAGCAAAGGAGTGGCATAAGCTGACTTGTGTTTTGAAAAGATTACCCTGGCTGCCCTGTTGAGAACAGAGTGAAGTGGGCACGGGTAGGAGCAGGGAGACAAGAGGCTACTGCAGTAATCCCGACCACAGTCATAGCATGGGAGGTGTTTTGGGTTTTAGCCTGAACCACTACAATGATGGAGTTGTCATCAACTGAG